ATTCCCATTCCCATTCCCATTCCCAGGGCTACGTGAGCCTCTTCATCCTGCGGTTCTGCTTGTCGATGGTCAGCGTGGCCCTGTCCACGGAGCTGCTGATGGAATCCAGGGCCTCATCCTGCCTTTCCAGCTCTGCTTCCGTCTCCAGGGCGAGGCCCTTCAGCTTCTTCAGGATCTGCCAGAAGGAAAGACTCAGAGCTTTCAGTGGGATCTCTGGGATAAGGCACGGAGCTGTGGGAATGAGGCACTTCGGGGCTTTAAATCATCATGGAATGGGTTGGAAGGGACCTGAAGGATCAACTCATTCCAACTCCTTCAGGGCTTTAAATCATCATGGAATGGGTTGGGTTGGAAGGGACCTTAAGGATCATCTCATTCCAATCCTTTTAGGGCTTTAAATCATCATGGAATAGGTTGGAAGGGGCCTTAAGGATCATCTCATTCCAAACTCTTCAGGGTTTTAAATCATCATGGAATGGGTTGGGTTGGAAGGGACCTTAAGAATCATCTCATTCCAACCCCATCAGGTTGGGTTGGAAGAGACCTGAAGGATCATCCAGTTCCAACCCTTTTAGGGCTTTAAATCATCATGGAATAGGTTGGAAGGGGCCTTAAGGATCATCTCATTCCAACCCCTTCAGGGCTTTAAATCATCATGGAATGGGTTGGGTTGGGTTGGACCTTAAGGATCATCCAGTTTCAACCACTTCAGGGTTTGAATCATCATGGAATGGGTTGGGTTGGAAGAGATCTTAGGGATCATCCAGTTCCAACCCCTTCAGAGCTTTAAATCATCATGGAATGGGTTGAGTTGGAAGGGACCTTAAGGATCATCTCATTCCAACTCCTTCCAGGCTTTAAATAATCATGGAATGGGTTGGGTTGGAAGGGACTTGAAGGATCATCCAGTTCCAACCCCTGCCATGGGCAGGGACACCTTCCACTATCCAAAGTTGCTCCAGCCTGGCCTTGGACACTTCCAGGGATCCAGGGGCAGCCACAGCTTCTCTGGGAAATCCAGTCCAGTCCCTTCCCACCCTCACAGCAAAAAATTCCTTCCCAATATCCCATCTATCCCTGCCCTCTGGTAGTGGGAAGCCATTCCCTGTGTCCTGTCCCTCCATGCCTTGTCCCCAGTCCCTCTCCAGCTCTCCTGGAGCCCCTTCAGGCCCTGCCAGGGGCTCTCAGCTCTCCCTGGAGCCTTCTCTTCTCCAGGGGAACCCCCCCAGCATTCCCAGCCTGGCTCCAGAGCAGAGGGACTCCAGCCCTTGGAGCATCTCCATGGCCCCTCTGGAGCTGCTCCAGCAGCTCCACATCCTTCCTGTGCTGGAAGCCCCAGAGTTGGACACAGAACTCCAGGTGGAGACAATGCCCAAAGTGACCAAATCATTGATAAACTGAATTAAACTGAATTAAACGACGAACTAAAGAGCGAACTCACAATTGAAATCTTGGGGTTATTTGGGGCAGAGGGGAAATGAGAGGTAAAAATCAGTGTAAACATCCTTTTTTCCTGGCTGTTACTCCCTCCTTGGTGGATCTGCACCCCAGAGCAGGAGGTTTTCCCCAGGATGTGCCTGTTGCAGCAAAGCCAGAGGGGATCCAGTGGCTGAAGGGGCACAAAGATCAGGCAGGGACCAGGTCAAAGGACAGAAAATGTTGTTTTTCTACAATTCACCAAAAAAAAAAAAAGTGTCACGGGATGGAGCAGAAGGAAAAAAGTGACACCCGGGCAACCAAACCTTGAGCCAGAGCTCAAGGGGTGTTTGGAAAACACCCTCAGGGATTGCTGGGGTGTCCAGGAGTTGGACTGGATGATCCCCGTGGGTCTATCCCAACCCAGGATATTCCATGATTAATTTTCCCACGACCAAGTCTGAGGGCAGATCCAAACACCACCTGAAAAATCCGCCCACATTCCTTTCCCTGGATCCTTTTTAGCAGCAGCCCAAGACAAGAGTTCCATCCTGAACATTCCAGGACTTCAGTGTCCAACAAAACAACCCTTGAGGTAAAACAGGAAAAAAACCCCTACACTTTATACATATTTATATTTATTTTTGCCATAACTGGTAAAGTTTCTGTTGGAATCTGTAGAATCAGCCCCCAGAAAGCTGCTGGGAAACATCAGCAGCCCCTTTATCCACATGAATTCCATCATTTGCTGCTCCTCGTCTGGGAAAAGCAGGAATATCCCATCTAGCTGGAACGGGAAGGGAATTTGACACAGCCTGCAGCTGGATGGCAGCCACAGGAGCGGGATTTATCTTGTAAAGTATCTCCCAGCTCTTTCCATAAATCCCAGAAATTTGAATAACCCGAGTCATGCTTTGGCTGCCAAAGCAAAAAAAACCACAAAATAAACTCCGGATCAAACTTAATCCACCTTTCTCTGTTCTTCCCAAAACTACAAGTGAGGAAACTCCTGTTCCTGTCCCAAATGAAACACTCCTCCAGGTTCTTTCCCCTGGGACAGGAAAGCAGGGAATTTCCCTCCCTCATTTCCCCAAACTGGAGGGGGGAGATTTTCTTTTTTCCTCCCACGAGAAGTTTGGCATTTTTAGCCACTCGAGTCACTCCCAAGCAATTCCCTCTCCTGCTGCACCTGGAATGGGCAGGGACAGGAGGGAGCAGGAAGATTTTAAATCCCAACTAGAGGACATTTCTCCTGCCATTTTTTCTCGGATTGACAGAGAATTCTGATTTTATTCACTTATTTTCAAGCGAATAAACACTCATGGTACCACCGGAAAAAAACCAGACTCCAGCAGCTCCACAGGCTTAATTCCCACCTTTTATTTTGGTCCCAATCCTTCCAGTTACACAGAAGGAAACACAAAGTATTTCCTCAGTTCTCCCCCCTCCCAAAAAAACAGCTCCAGGGCCTGGTTTTCCATGTGTTAAGCTCAGGTGTCTCTGATCCCCACAGGCCGTGGAACGAGGCCATCCCATGAGGAAATTTGGTCTTTAGCCCTTGGAATGAGCAGTTCCTCCACCAAACAAGTTTTCTGTGAGCTCACAGTTGTGATTTCCTGAGCTGAAGGCATGTAAAGGGTAAATAAACACTCCAGAGGCTCTGGAAGGAGGAAAAGGCTGGAATGGGACCATCCAGACCCTCTCCAAGCACAGCCCCAGGGCCAAGATTGTCACATCCCCTCCCATTCCCGGGGACATTTTGTCAATCCCAGCCAGATAACCCTCAAATTTCTTGGGATTCTTCCTGCATCACTGGAATTTTGTAGGATTCTTCCTCCATCTCCATAGCCAGGTTCAGGGAATATCCTCACACTGCCACAAACTCCATGTTTTAATATAAATGTCCCCTCAGGAATTCCTGCTGAGGTCCAAAGGACTGGAATGGGACAATCCAGACCCTCCAAGCACAGCCCCAGGGCCAAGATTGTCACATCCCCTCCCATTCCCAGGGACATTTTGTCAATCCCAGCCAGACAACACCGGAATTTTGTAGGATTCTTCCTCCATCACTGGAATTTTGTAGGATTCTTCCTCCATCTCCATAGCCCAGTTAAGGAACAGCCTCACAGTGCTACAAAATCCCTGTTCTAACATAAATGTTCCCTCAGGAATTCCTGGTCCTGGATGGGACCATCCAGACCTTCCAAGCACAGCCCCAGGGCCAAGACTGTCACATCCCCTCCCATTCCCGGGGACATTTTGTCAATCCCAGTCACACAACACTGGAATTTTGTAGGATTTTTCCTCCATCACTGGAATTTTGTAGGATTCTTCCTCCATCTCCAAAGCCAGGTTCAGGGAATACCCTCACATTACCACAAACTCCATGTTTTAATAAAAATGTCCCCTCAGGAATTCTTGCTGAGGTCCAAAGGACTGGAATGGGATCATCCAGACCCTCCATGCCCAGGGCCATTTTGTCAATCCCAGCCAGACACACCACCGGAATTCTGTAGGATTCTGTCTCCATAACCCAGTTCAGGAACACTCACACTGCCACAAAATGTGGGGTTTAACATAAATGACCCCTCAGGAATTCCTGCTGAGGTCCAAAGGACTGGAATGGGACCATCCAGACCCTCCAAGCACAGCCCCAGGACCAAGACTGTCACATCCCCTCCCATTCCCAGGGACATTTTGTCAATCCCAGCCAGACAACACCAGAATTTTGTAGGAGTCCTCCTCCATCTCCATAACCCAGTTCAGGAACAGGCTCACAATGCCACAAAATCCCTGTTTAACATAAATGTCCCCTCAGGAATTCCTGCTGAGGTCCAAAGGACTGGAATGGGACCATTGTCACATCCCCTCCCACTCCTGAGGCCACTTTGTCAATCCCAGCCAGACACACCACTGGAATTTTGTAGGATTGTGTCTCCAGAACCCAGTTCAGGAACACTCACACTGCCACAAAATGTGCGATTTAACATAAATGTCCCCTCAGGAATTCCTGCTGAGGTCCAAAGGACTGGAATGGGACCATTGTCACATCCCCTCTCACTCCTGGGGCCATTTTGTCAATCCCAGCCAGACATCACTGGAATTTTGTAGGATTCTTCCTCCACCTCCATAACCCAGTTCAGAAACAGCCTCAAATTGCCAGAAAATGCGTTTTTTTAACATAAATGCCCCCTCAGGAATTCTTGGTGAGGTCCTTTCCTCGAGCACCCAAATCACACTGAGGGAAGGAATACCAGCTCTGAGGGAAGGAATTGAGCATCCCCCAACAATTCCTGTTGGAAAACACCTGCTGTTATCCCTGGAGGAGAGAGGAAGAGCAACAGCTCTTTGTTCACCACAAATTCCTCTTCTCCAGCTTTGGAAGTTCTCCTGACTCACCCAGACCACAAAAAACAAGGGAGAGGGAGCAAAATCCTCCTCTGTTTGGTGAAAAATAAGTGTTTTCACCACAAGGAATAAAAGATCCCAATCCTCAGGAGAGGGAATTGCTCAGGAAAACACTAATTATAAACACAAGGCCCTCAAATATCTTTAATTAATGGATAAAAGGTGATGGCACAAGGATGTCTGTCTTCAAGGCTTGTTTTTCCCTCTTTACTCTCTGAATTCTTTGTAAATGTGACGATCCATCATCCTGCTCCTTCCCAAACATTCAATGTCTTGCTCAGGTGTCATTTCCTTGATGCTTCCAGGGGTTCCAAAGCCAAAAGGCTCTATATGGACTTTATGGAGCCCCGTGTGAATCCCAAACTTCCACACCCTCCAAACCTGCTCTTCCTGGGAAGGAATTCCCCCTTCGGCCCCATTTTCCTTCACTTCCACATCTATCACAGCTTATACCTGGAAATTATGAATTATAATTATTAATTATGATGATTAAAGACCCTCAGGGTCCACAGGGTCCACAGGCTGGATTAAGCTTTAAAATATTCCCATGGAAATTTATGAAGGATTCTTTTGTTAAGGCAACGAGTTTGTGATGAGGAAAACTTGTTTTTTTAAGGAGACACGGGGAGGGAAACAACTCTTGGCAAATTTATCTCAACTTTACCTGTCTCAGCTCTTTTGCCTCTTCCTGGGAGACCTTCTCGTGCTGCTGCAGCTGAACCTGCTCATTGTCCATCCCTTCCCTGCTTCCTGCTGGAGATCCAGGCTGCACCACCCCTCCCAGGAGTCCTGTGGCTGCAAGAGAAATTCCCACGGTCAGACTGACAATTCCCAGTTGGATATCGGGAAAAATTCTTCCCTGTGAGGGTGGGGAGGGACTGGAACGGATTTGCCAGAGAAGCTGTGGCTGCTCCATCCCTGGAAGTGTCCAAGGACAGCTGGGAGCAACCTGGGCGAGTGGAAAGTGTCCCTGCCCATGGCAGGGGTGGGATGAGATGATCCTTAAGGTCCCTTCCATCCCAAACCATCCTGGGATTCTGTGGAATATCAAGACAAAGCCCAGCTACTCTTCCTGAGGAGAACCATCCTCTGATGTTCATGGATGGGTTGGAGAAC